TCTCAACACCCTGGACTAATGTGGACTGGCCTTGGGCCACAGCCAGCTACCCCTGGGAAAGCTGGCCCTATCCCTTGTGTTTCTCTCAAATTCTGCAGAGGCTAGGTCTTCACCGTAGCTCTCTACTCTCCCTTCTTTATTCATCAGAACATGAGAGGTGAGGGCCTTAAAAAAAAAAAAAAAAAAAGCTAAAAGAAGTGGATCAGGCATGCAGTGTCACCAGATCATAGCAGAGTTAGTACTTGAGCATACTGAATAGCCCAGTATGAATTGCCAGATCACTGGACCCCTTTGGAAGCCATGGATATGCTGGAGAGCACATGAAATATCACAAAACATACACAACAGCCCATTACAAAGAATTATCTTGCCATATGTGGAATTATAAAGAAACCATGGTATACATACTTGCTTCAAAGCAATGTAGATCTGTAGCTTTTATTAGATTCTCAGTGGAGTCTAGGAATCTGTAAAGATTAAGAAGCACTAGCAAGTGATCAAAATCACAGGTTCCAGAGTGGCCCAGACCTAGCTCAGTTTTTCTCATATAAACATGATTTGTAGCAATTTATTGAGCCTCACTAAGCCACAGTTTCCATCTATAATGAGAATAATAGTTTCAAATGTACAGGGTTGCTGAAAGGGTTACACTTCCTCATACAAATAAAGGGTTTAACACAATAACTACACAGAGTAGATGTTCACTTAGTAATTGTTATCATTAATATTTGTAGTACCCTTAGTCGTCTTAGAACTCTGATTTTGGGTGCAACCTAGCACAATAAGTACACATTTTTAATTCTCAAGACAAGGAGAGGTGGTCATACCAGGACCCTTTCATAAGTCATTGTGTCTGAGTCTCTGTCTTCCTGGCTCCTAAGAAGAAAGAATAATACTTCTGTCACAGGTTTGTCAGAAACAGTGCATGGGAAACTACGTGCAGATTTCCCTGAATTGGGTGTTCATAGAGGGGAGGTACAGTATGCAAGTGTCTGTTCTTCAAATCCCCTAGTTCTCTGCCTGTGATACAGTCAGAGTGGGCTGATGACATTTAAGTCATCCTTGCACATGGAAAATATCTGAACCTCATTGTAGTTTTGTTTTCCCTGAGAGTCTTGAAGAAGCTACTATTTGTCTTAACTCTCTTCTTCCTTTTTTAGCTATTTTTTATTCTCTTGTGTATTTCCTTTACTTCTTCCCAATGGATAATGGATAGAGTTGGTTATGGGTGGTGCCAAAGACAAGGACTATGGCTGTAGTCTTTTTGCTTAGGATTCTGATGAGAGTGAGGTGGGAAAAAAGAGATTTTTTTTTTTAAACAAATGAAAGCATGATCCAGACTGTGAAATAAGTATACTAGAAATACTGAATAACTTCCTTGAACAATTGAATTCACCTATATACAAAGTTAGGTGAGAGTCCTTAGTTTCATACCTTAATATTTATTTGACTATAATATTGACAGAAAGAAAAATAAAATATAAAAGCTTGTTTTCATGTCAACACTATTCCAAATCTAAAAGGTATAACATGATTTTGCAGGATATTTGGTAAGCTTAGTAATGAGCTCTTCACTGAACCAACTTTACTTAGATCAAGAATAGACAAAGACATGCAAGTACAGGAGGAGGGCCTAGTGCATAGATAATTTGGCTTCCTCCTGCAGCTTTCTTCCTTGCTCTTTTAGCCCCCTCCTCACAGCGCCTTGTCTCCATGCCATCTATATATAGCTCTGGATTTCATATAATGTTCCCCTCCAAAAGTCATCTGTGTAATATTGTCCTCTCTGGTTTTGGAAGTGTTGTCTTTGGGGACAGTCATTATCATTTGTATAGAAGACAGATGACGTAGTGTCTGGTAAACACTGGAGAATTCAGAACTTGGACTGTTAGGTTCCAACTCTGACCTTAACTAGCACAGCAAATTCTACCATATGTGGAAGTGCTATTTCTTAATAGATGCTAGACAAATGGTTCCTCTTCCTCTTTGGGCATTGTAGTATTTGTCTGTAAATGGAAGGGGTTGGACAGGATGACCTCTAAAGACCCTTCCAGCTCTAAGTTCTGTGATTATATTCAAATGTTAGGACAACACGGTACTTATAAGCATTGCCATTAATGAAATTACCCATCATTTATCTTATAAAGGAAAAGCACCACCAATAGGAGCAGGACAACCACGCTTGAAAGTGAGACTGTGTGGATTTTTATCGCATCTGCAACTCTCTAGCTTGCTTGTGATAAATGAGAATGTCTTTTAGAAAATTCCAGCTGCCCTGGGGTGACCAGATCTGCCTTTTTGTTTTAGGCTAGGTTACAGCAAACATCACCTACTTGAGTGTGATGCCAAGTGCTTTAGACCTATAATGTAGCTGAAAATGAAAGTTTCTGCTTAATAGCGGTTAATAAGCAATTTCATAAAAAAAAAAAATGGTCTTCTCACCTCTTTTCTCTTGTCTACCTCTACAGTCTGACTTGACCTGTTTTTCAGAGAGAAGCCTCTCAAGAGGTTGGCGGGTGAGGTTTCACCCAGATTTCATTCCTTGCATCTCTTTCAGTCTTCATCTTTTTTCTTCCTGTCAGAGCAGATATGTTGTCGTGCATAGACTGTGCCCCCAAAGCTGAATTCTACACCTTATTTCCTGTTGACAGCACTAGCAGCCTGATCCAACTCTTCTGTTTCCTTTTTCCTCTTTAAAAACCATGCATCAGTTTCCAGCCATCCTAAGAAATATGTTTTTTTTTCAGTGCTGGGGTGACCACACAGCCTTGCAAAGCTAAGCAAGTGCTCTGCCACTGAGCAACATCCGCAGTACTTTTCATTTTATTTCATTTATTTCTTTACTTTAAGGTAGGTCTTGCTAAATTGTCTAAGCCAGCATTGAACTTCCAGTCCCCCTGTCTCAGCCTCCCAAGTAGCTAAGATTATAGTTTTGACCACCAAGTCCATGCTAAACAATGTTTAGTGACAAGATTCAGCCTGGTCACCTTCCTTAAGTCCTATGACAAAACAGAACCAATTAGTTTCTTCAGCTGTGCCTCGCCTCACTTCACACGATGAAACTATTAAGGTTGTTTTTGTTTTACCCCGTTTCATGGGACCTTAATCTTATTCTTTTATGTGCTGCACTCTGAATTGGATAACAGAGAAGAGATTTTTTTTTTTTTTTTTTCCTGTTTAACCTTTCCTGTAAATCTCATTTTCAGACTTGCTCTAAATTAGAGTAAAGGTTAAGTGAAATGGGTAAAGAGGGAGGGAAAAGGCGGGGAGGGAGGCACGCAGCTCTGCTGGGGCATCCATGTCCACAGTTTGCGTCTCTGAGTCTGCACCCTGTTGCCCTGACATGTGTGTTTCATCCTGGAGTGGACGCGGGTGCTTGTGGGTGGCCCCCCCAGTGCTCCATGGCCAACATGGAGCCAGCAGTGCCCATGTCATGCATTGCCCAAGGGTATTGGTCCACAGCTCTCTCCTCTCCGTGGAGGACTTCTCTGGCCCTCTGCCACTGCTCTAGTCCAAGCTCATCAACTTGTCTATGGGGTTTCTCTCCCAAGGCCATGTGTTGTTCATGCTATGTGTCCTCTTCTCATGTCTTAGGGAAATTTCTTGTTTTGCTTTGCTTTTTTCTATTTCATCTCATTCTGTTGTGAATTTGAAGGTGAATCCCAGACATTTTTCACCACAAAAACTATTTTCCTTTCCCTGTTTAATGTAGCACAACTGTCACCAAGGGGAAGTAGCAAAGGGAGTTGTGCTAGGAAGACCGAAAGACCAAGGTTTGTGAAACCTAAACTTGGGTCAGTTTTGCCTGACTTGCTTTTGTGACCTAGGGTGAGTTACAGTACTTCCATGCTTATGTTTTCTTTTGCCTATAAAATGCTTATAAACCATGAATCACCTTACCTTATTGGGTTTTTGAGAATCACTAGAGGTAGTTTATGAAAGCATTCTTTGGAAAGGTAAATTATTGTGCACAGCCACAATCTATTCTAGTCAATGTACTAGAAGCAGTAGCAGCACCATGGTCACTTTCCTAGTTGTAGCTATACCTCACAGAACTTTCCACTTGAGCGTGAGTGAAACTCATCCTCTAGCTTTGAGTATCTTTCCTCCCAGGCTGCCCTGTGGAGAGATACCCTGTGTTCTTCTGGCAAGGAATGACATCCTAGTTTATTAGCTACTGCTCTAGACCCCAGCTCATGAGAGGGTTTGGCTGAAGATAACTCTTGCTTCAATGTGCTAGAGACTAACACTTGGGCTGACTATGCCTGTGCAGGGGATCCTGGTGTGCTTTCTGGTGAACAATGTTCCTTCCAGAAGAAGCTCGCTAATCAGCCAGAGAGACCCTGGGAAAGCTCGACAGTTTCGTTTCTCAAGCTTTTCTGCCAGAAGATATTGGGGTACATTGGTGCTTCACTACACACCACTGTGTTCATTTGCAGGCTAGCAGACTAGGAACTTCCTGCCTTTGATAAAGGAAATTACAGGAGAATTTTTTTTAGGACAACTCAATAGAGTCAATAATGATTGTAGGAGACACATTACTACTGTCAAGCATGCAACATTTAAGCATGCTGTCTCCCTTTGCCTGAACATGCAGATCAAGAGACATGACTACCTACTTTGGGTTCTAAACCCCCTTCTTCCCTTGCATTAACATAGTCCCTGCCACCACAAATAGCCAAATCAGGCCAAATTAGTGTGCTCACCAGAGACTTAGGTGAGAGGTATTGTACAAATGTCTAAATTATGAGAGCTCAACACCCAAAGGCCTTTCAAAAATATTTTCATACAATTCATTATTGTTAGTATTTGTAGCTGTTTGATAAGCTCCAGAACCTTTTTCTGCCATGGAAAATAAATCATGCCTAATAGCTAATGGCTGAGGTGTCTTGGTTTCGTTTTCTTTTTTCATTTTTATACTTGAACTTTTCCCTAAAACAGTGACATGTCATCACCCTGGTTAATTCTGTTTAATACTGTTTTTCTTTCCTCTCCCTTAGGATGGTCGTCTGCGAATGAATGACCAGCTGATTGCAGTTAATGGGGAATCTCTTCTGGGAAAGTCCAACCACGAAGCTATGGAAACACTTAGACGATCAATGTCTATGGAAGGAAACATACGAGGGATGATCCAGTTGGTAATTCTGAGGAGACCAGAGAGACCAACAGAGGTGATTCAAATCTTCATTTTCTTCAACAAACTTCCCAAGTTGCCACCCGAACGCGCACAAGCCCACCACTAGTGTGAGAGCTCAATTTTCAGTGATTCTGCAGTTGGGAAAATAAAGCCTCAGAGGGCTCTTATGTATTAATGTGTGGAACAAGTGGTTGTATAGTTTAGTTATAAATAGATGGTGTAAAAATGTGCATATAGAGTAAGCCACGTATCAAATATAACAGATCCATAGTTTCTAGATATTTTCCTCCAGAAATTTCTAGAGCTCTGGACTTAGGTATAAACTCCTTAGAAAGTTCCTAATCAATTGTACACAGTGTCAGGGTCTAATACGAAGATCATTATAGTACAATCAGCTCTCCACCTTCTCCCCTATAGTCTATATGCAGATAATCTAGACTTGAGATTTAACTAATTGAAAATATCATCTGGTAAGCAAACTGCATATTTCATGTTATTAAATAAAAGGAAGTCTTCCTAGGGGCTGGGGATTTAGCTCAGCGAAAAAGCGCCTGCCTGGCAAGCACAAGGTCGTGAGTTCGGTTCCCGGTACCGGAGAAAAACCAAAAAAAAGAAATCTTCCTTTCTGAAAGCTTTTTTTTTTTTTTTTTTTTTCTGAAAACTTTTATCATGATCTCTTCATCAATGTTTTTAATATCAGCGAAAAAGCGCCTGCCTGGCAAGCACAAGGTCGTGAGTTCGGTTCCCGGTACCGGAGAAAAACCAAAAAAAAGAAATCTTCCTTTCTGAAAGCTTTTTTTTTTTTTTTTTTTCTGAAAACTTTTATCATGATCTCTTCATCAATGTTTTTAATATCAGAAATACTTTCACTTATGTGATGTGTAAGCCTAAAATATTCTTGATTGCTAATTTTCCTGAACATTTCTTTTACATAAAACTATAAATACAAAATTCCTAAAAAATTATATTTTCTAATTATTAAATATTCCTATTATTTTAGGAAAAATTTAATAGTATAAAAATTAAGAAAAATATTTGGAAATCGCACAATATCATATGAAGATATTATTCTCTTTACAGCCAAAATATGTTTATGTAATAGAGTAATGTGGAGATGAATTAAAAATAAATTCAATTTAAAATTTTTAAAAGGAAAATATTATCAAATTAAATAATAGGAGATGGGAGGAGGATTCCTTGCAGTTAAAAGCTTAAGCTCTAAAGTTTTGACTTGCTTGGGCTAAAATCCTAGGGTTGCTATTTATTGGCTATGTAACTACATATATACCTGAATGTTCAGTATTGTTATCTGTCTAATCCATTAATCTTCATTTCCCAGAAGATAGGAGGTAAATAATAAAAACTGTTGAATGAATGCAAAAGTTGTATCTGGGACCTATTTCAACTGAGAAAGTAGTTTTGGGTAGTAAAATTGTAAACTGTATCTTACTTTGCTATGTTATCAGTTACTGGAAAGGAGTAACTTTACCTTTTACACTCTTCTGTACATAACCTTGTGGATGTTAAATAAATGTAAATTGGCCAATTACTGGAGACTATATATAATGAAGAAGCTCATTTTCAACATTTACGTCTGCCTAAGTGACAGAATCTTCCATGAATATTTAATGGGCTTTACTTATTACAGAGTTAGAGTGCCTGATCTACTGTTTCCTGCCACAGGAGAAGTGGCTCCATCTGCTGTAATTCAGTTTTTCTCTAGAGATCCATGGAACCAGTTCATGGAGAGGTGTGAAGGATAGCACAGAGCTCACAGTCATGCCTTATGCACATCTAAACATCAGAGATGCCCTGAGATTGCTTGTAACAAAGATGTGGAGATAAATGGAAAAGTCTGGTCTGTTCTAGAGTACCCTGCTTATGTAGACAGCAAAAGCTAAGAAAGAGAGAGAGAGGGAGAGAGACAGAGAGAGAGAGAGAAGAAAGAGAAAGAAAGAAAGAAAGAAAGAAAGAAAGAAAGAGAGAGAGAGAGAGAGAGAGAGAGAGAGAGAGAGAGAGAGAGAGAGAAAGAAAGAAAG